TTATATGTGACAGCATCTGCAATCATTTGTCTTGAAAGAAGGGCTAGAGATTCTAAATTTGGTGTTTTTATATTATTTCGTAAACAGGTGTTTGCACAGGAGGTTGTGTCTGGGTCAGTGAAAATGTCACCCTCTGTTTATTAGGAGTAAAGCTGTGTGAAGGCAAAGCCCCATGCGCTGGACTCGGCCTCACCTTTCATTCTGCAATGTCCATGCACAGCTGTGGTTTTCTTTTTTTTTTTTTTTAATAAAATTATTAAGAGTGAAGTCAGTGCACTCATATTAAAGAAGATACAAAACACTGAATATTATGGCAGGAAGCTAAACTTTTAAAAAGCCACAGATGGCAATACCTTTTGCATTAGTGTCTTGTAAAGATCTAGGTGGGCACATGGAATTTTGCAGCCTGGATTGAGGGCACTAAGTATCTGGTTGCCCCCCCACAGGAGTATGAGAGTGGAGCTTGGTTGCAGGAAGCAGGGAGATGCCCGTTGCCTACAGACAGGGAGGGAAGCGAGCCAGCACTCAGAGGGAATCAGAAGCCTGCCAGCTATATTGCCAGGCTGTAAGACCGACAGAGCAGGGCATGAGGCAGATGGATGGAAACCCAAGGAACTAAAATGAGCCGTTTAAGTGGGAAGCAGAGCCCCAGGGAATTCCCTAACCTCAGAAACCTTTTCACTGGCACCTTTTTATCGAGTGTCTGTGGCTTCTGGTCGAGTGGAGATTGAGCCCAACTTGGCTCAGATGTAATAGTGGCTCAAGGCAGTTCTTCCCCAGATTTAGTGTGCACGTGATGCAGATTCTCAGCCAGCAGGTCCGAGGTGAGGTCTGAGATTCTGCATTTCTAACAAGTCCCCACCTAGTGCAGAAGCTGCTGATCCAGGGGCCATACTTTGACTAGCAAGCATCTAACCCACTCTCTCCCCAAGCACCCCATTTTACTGTCTTTCTGTCCCCTGTACTTTAACTTAATTTGTGGACTCCTCCAGTACTCACAATCCATTCATGCTACTAATTTTCACTGTCACCCCCCTCCAGGTCTCCTGTCCTAGTTACCCAGCTGAGATTCCATCATCTCTCCTTATAATCACTCCTTTGCATCCACCCTCAAATTCTTTACTTCTTTCTCTCTTCCTTGTAATACTCAGCTGGCAACACCCCAACCCTGCATAACCCACTCTCTCCCCACCCCCATCTTCACCTGTGCTGGTGAGTGTGGCTGAGGAGCTAACAGGTCTCACTTTTATCTCAGTGGGTCCCCAAGGCTACTGGTTCCCTTATCCAGTCACTCTTCTCCTCTCCCGGAGCACCTCCTCATGCTCTCTCCTCAAACCTCCAAATATCTCCTTCTCCATCCTCCTTCTCAGCTGATAACCTTGCTTCCTATTTTCTTCTTTGGATCATGACTTAGAAAAGAACTTCCTCCTGTTGCCTCTGTAGATCTGCCCAGGTGTGCCTGTGTGCCCACGGCCAGCTAGGCCCTGCCACAGCGGCCACAGAAGCACTGGGCATGCTCTGGCTCTGTGAGATGGCCACATGGAGGGGCCAGCAGGACCAGCCCCTCCCTGACCTGCCTCTCCACCAACTCCTTCAGGTCTCAGCTCACCAGACATTTTGTCAGTGATGTCTTTCCTGACTCCCCCACTTAAAGAAGAGCCCCCCTCCCGCCAGCAGGCCTTACCCCACACTGCTTCTGTTTCCTTCAGTGATCACAGCTGTTCTGCCAGATGTTTGGTTTGTTTCCCACCTCCACTAGATAGCTCCACAAGGACAGGGAATTTTGTCCTGGTCAATATTGAAACCCCACCTACAAAGTGGCCAACACATGGACACGTTCCTTAAATAAAGTGTTTGAATAGATATTAGAGTGGAAGATGTGACTATATTAGAGCAGAATCAGAAAAAGCCAATTAGGAAAAACTACATATCGACACTTGTATTTAAAAAGCCACTCCAGTCCTTTTTGAATAGACAGGGACCCTTTTGGGACCTGAATGTGCTCAATATAGTGTAGATCGTTGAGCCCACCAGGACCTTCAGAGGTGAGACGAGAAAATGACCACAGTCAAACTCTGTTGGAGAATTCCTGTCCCTTCTCTCATTAAACACTTTCAGGGAGGTCCATAGTTAAAGTCAGGACTTAACCAGCCCATACTACTCTGGACTGCGGAGCATTGTTAACTTCACGCAGGACACTGGCAAGGAGCTGTAACCGACCAGCGTTGAACAGTTCCACAGACTAAGCATGTCTAATTCACTGTGGTTCCAGGAAAAGAGAGATCTTGGCCATGCCTGTGACTCCACGTGAGCCTATCATGATGAAAACAACTACACGATTTTAAGTCAGTGGAGGAAATGTCCTAAGAAGTCACAAAACAGAGGCGTTCGCCATGAGAGTGTCATGCTGGTCATGCCCCAGGAGGAGAATTGAAGCGTTTAGCATAAAAGTGGAGGAAAGGCAGGCCAGTGTCTATATGAAGTTCTAGCAATATTTATTTTTGTTTTATCCTGAAGAGCTTTGCTTTTCATAACATTATCACCAGGCACTAACCCATTGCCTGTCAAGGCTTGAGCAAGTTCTGATTAGCGGGGAGGAGAAGGGAAGCATAGGGTGTTCTGTGAGTCTTAAATAAGATGACTGACCTCACACAGGGCTGGGGATACAGCAGGTGCTCGATACATGCACCTTCCTCCCTCAGTGCTCCTCCTTTGGTGCCCTTTCCGATGGCCCCTCTCTGCACACACTGCTGTCTTTCTGCATCATATGGAAGTTAGGATAGGAATATTATTCTGCTTTAATAAGTCATTCATGTTAGACCAGTGATTCTCAATTTGGGGGTGGGGGTGATTTTGCCACTGAAGGGATATTTGTCAAAGTCTGGAGACATTTTTTGTTGTCACAGCTCAGGGTGTGAGATGCTATACCCTCAAAACAAAGAACTACCCAGCCCAAGATCCCAGCAGGGCCAAGGTCGAAAACCCTGTTTTAGAGCATACATAATACTTTACACTGGTGTTTACGGTTGGTTTCTTTGCTGGACTCTGAAGGAAGAGTAGGATTGAGAAGGATGTGACTGGCTGAGCACACAGTGGGACAGGAAGTTGGGACAAGTTTAAGGACCCACCTTCCAGGTGCCAGGATCCACCTACTCTTGTCAAGCATACTACAGTTTCTAGCTGAAACTGTCTTGTTAGATACTTGTTTCATATTGCTCGTGTGGCCTCTAAAACAGACAGTGTGGCAGAGGCATGGAGGACCCAGAATGGAGGGTGAGGATCGTGAGGTGACAGGCTGGCAGGCACCGCGGTGGGGAGATCATCACACCATGACAGGAGCTTGAGTTTTATCCCAAGAGAATTGCATGTATGGAGCCCTCCAGAGCCAAATTATCCTGCTCTTTTCTGCTGTGTGCACAGCCTTTGTATACTTCCCTTATTACGTGTGTCTCTCTGTATTGTACTATTTACTTCTAATTTGGTCTCCCAAACTGGGCCTTATCATCTTTGCCTTCGTGTACCTCTTGCACATAGCACAGAGGTTTATCAGTGAGTGTTTATTAAACATATTTAGCAGTGTTTTAAATAATACTAGCAGCCTCTCAAAATAGTTATTTCTCCACTTTTGAACAGGTGTCATGGCCAAGTATTTATTTCTGATGCAGTTGTTTAGAGCTTGAAATGCATCCTCCTGGGTTTTATAAATGATGGGTTTTTGGGCTGGTATGGAAACTTTCCAGAACCCACAATGTTGCTGAACCATAATGCTTAGTAGATCGGGATAGGGGATTTCCCAGCAAGAGGCAGAAAGGAGAGAATTTCCATTGTCTTTTTTTCTTGCAGTGGGATCTTTACCATTTTCCTGCCCATCCTGGTGTGTAATGTTCTCTAGCCTTGTGCTGCACCTTTCTCTTGGGCTCACACCCAAGAGGCCCTTAGACTGCATGGGCAGGGGTCCGTGGGAGAAGAGCGGGGCTGGCGGCTCTCGTCTTGCTGGCTGCTGCGGAGTCCGACACTGGCGCCTCGTGGAGGGATCATCACCTTGCTTGTTGGCACCTTGGCTATTTCTCTTTGGTCTCTCCAGTGCTACTTTGCTTTTCATTTTTTTCTAAGAAATAGCTCTTTCTTTTCCCTTTTAAAACTTTACCAAAAAAGAAAAAAAAATATCTTGGGGGAGGCATTGGTTTACCTCAGTGGATATTTCTCCTGAGAAAATTCAGTCTAGTTATTAGGTCGTTTGTTCACTATCCATGCTTTCTACTTCCACTTAGCATCTTGTAAGATGTCTGCTTAGATCCACAGTTCTACGAAAAACAGAATTTTAGTTTTCAGATTATATTCCTCAAACTCAGATCACACTTATTCTTGGAGGAAGTGATCTTTATAAGTGATATAGCTTTATTTTTAAGCATGAGAAACCATGCTAACAAAAATACAGCACATTTCAAGATGAAGACATTAAATAATATGGCTAAATGTAACAATTATCACATGCTTCTATATAATTGTTTCAGAATTTTTCTTTTCTCACAAGACTGTCATCTTCTTGAAGTGCACAACCATTTTTGTTTTTGCTTTAATCCATGTGCCTTGACAACTCTAAGGGGCCACGTTCGAGGTGGGAGGTTGCAGTGCTGGCGACAGATAAGCCATAGTTACTGTCAGAAAGAAAGGAGGAGGCAATGAGTAAAAAAAGGCATAGGCATAGTTAATTATCACAGGTGATTAATGCCATCATTTTTATTTTCCTACATAGGTGACATTTGTGACAATATATAGGTCTGTGAATATTTTAAGAGCAAGTTTTAACCTTTGCTTTTTAACGTTCTTTTTTTATAGTTTTAAAGTGCTAAAGGTTAAACAGTTTTTTTTTCAGTTGGTTTCTTTATTGACCAAAACTTAAATATGTAAATGAAAAGATCTTTATTTTACTTTTAGTTGTTGCAATTTTAATCCAGTTTAGAGTTTTGAAATTGTTTCCTCTTGTATTTCCTTTTCAGAAAACACAAGGTCATTCTCTGATTTCGGCAGTTGGGCACAACTTCGTTGCTGGGAAAAGGTGATTTCAAGGTATTCATTTACCTGGTTTATTCTGCATTATTCTGCATTATTATTCATTCAAGCTGGATTTTAGTTTAACTTTGTGTGCAGACATCAGTGATTGATTTGGGGACTCTGTTTGGGTTGTAGATCTTCAGACACACCAGCTTCCAAGCTGAAAAACCTCCAAAGTGCTAGCTAAGTCGAATTTGAATTTTGCACTGTGAGTCTTCTGCCATAGAGACCGAGACACCAATGGGTGCACTTCCTACAATATGGTGTTTCCCATTGGTCAGTGCTGGGCGCATCCTGGTTCTGCTTGGTCATGCCTCTGGGAAATTGAGCGAAGTGCCTACCCTCGGTCAATCTTTTTCCTCTTTGAGATGAGAATAATAATTGGATAGCCTCTTGGGGGGATTACTAGGATACACTACCATCACCAAAAATATAAGGCTGTATATATGGTTGTGATTATTAGTGGTACCCATAATCTCATTTTGTGGTGATGATAAAAGTTATGTCAGTAATTCCTTAATGACTTTGGATCCATCTTCTGTGAACAGACCAAATATAGAAAAAAATCATTCAATTTAAATGAGGAAGTTAACACAAAGACATTCTATATTTCATTTTAGAATTAATTTACTACATAGTTATCAACTTTTATAATAAATCCTGGACTTTCAAGCACTATGTCCACCCATTTAAAAGATTTACAAACCTCAAATTCTGTGGCCTGCCTTAGCCATATCCACCATAAATCATTATCCAATTCCTCTATGGCCTGGAAAGGAAGGAGTACATCTGGTCTGAATTTTCCCAATCTCTTCACAGAAAGAATCTTGTCAAATAGGCCACTGTCTTTTAATTAGATATTTCCTTCAACTTACTGAGAAATTCTTTTTCTTGCCTGAGTAACCCTTTCCTCTTAGGAGAGAAGGGAGCTATTTCGGGGTCATTTTGGTTCCCCTCTGAGGCCACAGTCTTTCTAAACATAATGCAGATCCTGGAAATCAGCCTGCCTTTTGTTAGTTAGACTAAAAAATCAGTGCATTAAGAGCTTTGATTATCCACACTCCAAAAATGCCTTCCTCTGATCTAACATTCGACAAGAATCTTGGTTCAGGGATTAGACATCGTTTCCTCTAATTCACTTCCATTTCCACTAGAGCTGCTCGCCTTACACATTTTATTTGTGGCCCGAAATGTAGAACATTTTCCAGGTAGGAGGTAATTAAGATTTAACTCAAGACTCTATATATCTTAAAATAGGTATCAGATGCTTCTGTAGTGAAATCATAGTCCTCCTAATTCCTGGAAAGCATTATGTGGTACTTTTTGGTACGTGGCTGACTGCTTGAGTTTTACTATCAAGATAGTTTTCTGCCTCTTTTTTTCTTTATTTAACTTGAATTTCCACTTTGCTTTCTGCCAAACTCCTGTCCCCAGCATTTTCGTTATCTTCACTTGTATGTGCCAAGCAGCTCCCAGATCTAATAGATATACAAGGAAACTGTCTTCCCCTGCCTCCTTCACTCCTCTGCTTAACACTGATTTCTTCTCCTGGAATCAATATTTCAATTAACTGGCATTCCTGTCAACCCAGTAACTCAACCCAGAAATCTCTGTCCTGACATTGCCTCATCTTCCTCATTCAGTCTACACCAGATTCTGGATTTAAGATCATATATGAAAGTTCCAAGAACAGTGACTGGTGCTTGGTGAGGTCACCTGCCAGCTGTCACAATGTTAATTGTTAATATATTTCTGATCTTCCTTTCTTCTACCTCCATGGTTACTACTTTAGTTCTGGTCCTCATCAGCTCTGTGCCAATCAGTTGCTGGAGCTAACTAATGTTGCTCTCTTCCAAGAGACTGTCCCCACTCTAGGTGCCCTGCTCCCAAAATCATAACATGATTTCCTGCCCAGTGTCTTCTGTGGGCCCTGGTAACTGTGAGAATAGATCCATACACCTTGGTGTGGACCCCATGATCCAGCCTGGGCACCCCTGCAGTGCACTGGCTACCTTCCCCTCCCTTGTAGTCTCTGCTTCATTTGGACTGAACTTTTTGGGGTGTTCCAACACATCATGCCTCTTCTAGGCACCGATGCCTTTCTTTGCAGTTGCTGTTCTGACGTCTGAGAATGCCCTTGCCCCTTTTTTCTTGATAAATTCCAGTGCGTCTTTCAAGATCCACCTCAATTTCCATCTCCTCTGAGAAGCCCTCCCTGGGCTCCCTTAGCTGGGCTCCCATAGTTCTTCAGTGACATCTCTAGGCACTCTGTGCTGTAATTATCCACTTATATATCTGACCCTCCTATAGATGCTAAGCTTGAGGGCAGCATTTGGCTCTTATTTTTGTACCTGCCACATCTAATAAATGCCTGGAGCATAGTAACACATAGTGGATGCTCTAATTTCTTTAAATGAATATATCTCTGACACTGCAATAAAGAAAAAGATAGTATTCATGAAAAGTGATTGATCTCAAGCTGTGCTTTGTTCCTAAGTATAAGCATTTTTCTCAACAATAATGCTTTGCTTTCTATTTCACTTTAAGTATCCACATGTTAACGAAGAGCCACCAAAACCAATTTATGTTCCCTTTCCCTCTTCTGCTGATGTCAGTACGAACACGGTGGCTGTCTTCTTTTGGAACTTGTAATTGTGTATCATTTCCACGTTGGAAGTAGATTGAGCCAATATCCTCACCAAGTTTGGTGATGGTAGTAGCTACTTTTATGATGTGTTCATTTGAGATTAAAAATTTCAATTGCCCCAACCCATTTTCAGGCTTCTGACGTGCCTGTGCCTTGCAAGTGTGTTTCAAATTTCTAGAGTTGTTCTTCAATTTATTAAAAAGACAAGCAAGGAGAACATAGAACCAATAACTGTCTGGGAAAATGTGAGCAAACCCAAATCAACAAATAAGTATGTTTCTTGAGAGGCCACAGTTAACACTGTTGGTGATGAACCACAGCTTTGAGGAGCTAGGGGAAAATAATGGGATTCATTTTTAATTCAAACCAATTCTAAGCAAGAGCCTTGGCTTTCTGGAGTGGCTTTGTAATCAGAGGTTACCGCAGGGCTTGTCAGAACTTTTAGCAACTGTCTCCACTGTGAAAATAGACTTACATTGTTAGCTGATTGCAGAGCTGAGGAAATGATGACTCTAGCCAGCTTTTGTCTTACATTTGATCTTTGGCTCACAGAGATGAGGTTAATTTCAGCATAAGCTGTTAGCTTTATTTTCTAAATCAGTCAATTTTAATAGCAACCTGCTTGTGCCCTGAAAAACATCCAAGAGCAGTAAGAGAGAGTTGGCCTGGAATATAAATGTTAAGTTATATTAATAAATCTTAGCTATCTCTACGCCAGCAGTCAACAAAATATGAATACTTTGCAATCAGTCTAATTAATCTTTTTTCTTTTTTTCTTTTCTCCCCTGAATTTGTTATGTGTGTGTTTTCTGAATTGTAAAAGCAATATACATGTTCACTATAGATAGTTGGAAAACACAAAATTCCCAAGGAAGGAAAAATGTTTTCTTATGAGTCCATTACCAAAAGAGGACCATTGTTAACATCTTGGTTGATATTAGCCTGAGAGTTTTCTCCAACCAAACATACATACTTTTTAAATTCTGATGATGAAAAATTTTACACACAAAGGAGAGAATCAGAGCCCTCATACAGTCACAATCTAGATTGACAAATTATCAAGATTTTGCTACCACGGCTTTATCCATCCCTTTTCTTCTTGTTCCCTTTCTTTTTCCTTTTTTGAAATATCAACTAAATACTTTCAAAAGGAGAAGAGTACTCCTGATATTCTGAGAACTACAGAAAGCAAGTGTTTACCTGCCAATTTCACATACTCTAACCTATCTTTTATTAGGAAGCAGAAAGTATGATTTTACACTTAGTATTGCATTGTACTTTACGGATAAGCTGCCTTAAAGCTCAAGTCTATCGCACGCTAGATGGGTATTGATTTTTCCTCTTAAATCAATGTTTCCCTAGAGCATAGTTTTATTTATTCATAAAGCTAAGATGATGTCTGACAGGAGTTACAGCAGTGTAAATCTGCGGTGCAGGCGCAATAGGAAGAGCTTTTGTAAGACTCTCAAAAATCAATGTTCTGATGCTAGAGGGTATCCTCATAAACCTGAAAAAGTGCATTTGCCGTGCTTCCAAGTGTACAAGGAAAATTCCAGCATGTAGTTAAATTTCATCTCTCTGTTTTCTATGATGCTTTGCAAGTGGACCTAAATGTGGTGTGAGCGAAGCCGGGCTGTGACTGTGTTCAACGCATAACCGGTCGACGGAACACCAGGCTGGATAGAATCAAAGCTTCAGCCATGATCCCTTGTTGACACCAAATCTGTCAGCTTGCTGATGAAGGATGTGCCAGCCGCGTTGATCTATTCTCTATAATTCTGCCCACAGTACAGGGAGCTCAAAGGGAGGGCTTTTCTGCCCAAGGGACAGTTAACATGAGAGCGTTCACTTTGGGATGCTTCATTCACTTTGGAATACTTTTGTATACTTGTTGGTGTGTTAAAATATATGTAACAGTTGTCTTTGTAACTAGCCCATGTAAGTTGAGCATAATCCTAAAAGTGTTCACCTTTTGTTGATATGTATGTATGTATGTATATTATGTATAGTCTTATTTTCTTTTAAAAGTGTTTATCCTGAAAATTACTATTAGACATTTTTAACTTAAAGAAAACATGTCCCAGTTCTTCTCTCAGCCTTAACTGATTTTTTTCTAGTGGTTGAAAAATGCTTCTAATGGTTGGATGTCACCATCTGGAATTTTAAATATCCGGTTTTCTATTAGCTGTCTGATCTTAGCACAGTAGAACTGGTTGGGGAGTCAGGTGACTATAAGTTAGTTTCTTATCTACTCTTAGCTGCTCTGTGACCTAAGGCATGTTCCTGAACTTTTCTTGGACTTTTTGTTTATACTGTTGTTTTGTTTCCTCATTTAAATAACAGTAAGTGAGGGTGTGTGAAATTAGCA